ACTGTAACTTTTATTATTCCATTAATAAATGAGTTTCTTGTTAAATATTATGATATATACTAATTATTTATTTCTCAATGTCGTATTTCATTCGAGAAATAATCTCACTAAATACCACTCGAGCTTTAAAATTGACCATATAATTTTTCACTCTGGCACGTTTTCCTTACAAATTTCACTCGTCCTTCGGACTCGTGAAATTATGGAAAACATGCAGTCGTGAAAAATTATCGGTAATTTCAAAGCTCTCGTGGTATTAACCCCGATAAGTCCAGGATAGGTTACCTTGTTACCTGGTGAAGAAAATTGCTTGCGTTTTCTCCTGGTTAAACTCCATTTTCCAGTTCCTGCTCCATTGCTGGACCTGGCCGAGATGTCTTTGGAGTCTAGTGGTCTTGTTAGGGCTTTTCCCTGCGGCAGTGAGTGCTACGTCATCTGCATATTTGTAGCACTCTGTATTGGCGGTGGTTGGAAAGTCTGCCATGTATATGTTGAAGAGAGTAGGGCCCAGCACTGATCCTTGCGGTACTCCTAACATCACCAGTCTGCTGGTTGAGAACTGGTTCTCAATTTTGACCTGGAAGCTGCGTCCAGATAGGTATCTGCTGATGAGCTTAGTTTGGTGTCCCGGAAAGCCGGCTGTTATCAACTTGGCTATCAGGGCCTGGTGCCAAACTGTGTCGCCCGGCCTGAATCCATGTTGCTCATCCAGCAGCACCTTCTTGTCCACTATTGTATCCTGGATGTGGTTCAGGATACACCTCTCCATAACTTTGGCCATCATAGCTAATAGGCTGATAGGCCTGTAGGACTTAAGCAGCTTCCTGCTTGCTCTCTTTTTGGGCACCAGTTAATGTAAACACACATCATTTACTTATCTAATAAGAATGTTTTGTCGTGTCGTTGTCGTATCTTTGCCAGTCCGTTGGGTGTCTGATAGTGTAAAGCAGATTTTACACGAGCATGTTCATTTAACCTTAATTTATCAAAGTATTAGTACAAAACGAGATATTAATCTAACTTTCATCTGCAAAACGAACATTTGCATAAATGAAAGCTTATATGAATATCTGGCTACAAGTTTTAGTTTTATGCAGATTTAATTAAAATGTAAATTTGCAAAGATTTAATAAAGTGTAGCAAATACACTTTCATAGCGATTTATTCGAAGGAAAAAGAAAGGTATTATGAAATTAGTAAAATGCATATTTTGAAATATGACTTTGAACGGCTTGACAAATATACACAATATACATGATGTTAAGACACCCCCATTTCGATTTCAGTATATATTAAGTTCTCATTAAGTTATCACAGAATTGCGTTTTAAAATAGCGTTAAACAGCATTTTTATATGTACGTCGAGAATAGAAAGAGATTGATAATATTTGTTTAAAACACAAACACAGGACAATGGACTAACTGATTAACAAGAAACTAAAGATATTTTTATTCAAGCAAATGTGCAAAATTTTGATTGAAGATCGAAATACAAAGCATTCCATAAATACAAATTTAAAGTATTCGTATCATTTTCCCCTAAATTTGAGAGAAAAAGGATTAAGCTCCAGAATATTGAAACAAATTGTTAGCTTCAGGATTATAAGCTGAGGATTATTTTGGATAATTCCTTTCGTTTTGTTTTATAGCTTTATGAATTACATATGGAGCAACAGTCATAGGTAATTTTAATTGGGTAGAATATTCTGAGAAGATACTAAAAACCTATTGTTATTTCCATCGCTGTATGTGCTATTTTGTTTTTTCGATTGCTACAACAAAATAGTCATCTCTTTAACCCCCAAGCGACTGATGTTTTTTCGGTGCTGTCGGCGCCCTTTTGGACGTTGCCTATTAATATGGTGATTAAAATTTTATTAGCAGCTTGTCTAAGCAATTGGATCAATGACAGACCACTTACTTAGATTTTGCATCCAAGGTTTCTTCTTCTACCTGGACCCATCTACCGCCCCCTTGCCCTGAAGGATAAGTTGCCGATGCTGAAAATAGTCCAGTTTCCTGTTCTTTATCATAAATGTGATTTCTTGTTGTTTGCCGAATTTTCTGATTACTTCTTCGTTTGTAAGCTGATCCTTCCGGGATATTCGAAGAACACTTCGATATACCCACATTTCAAAGACCGAAACCTTCTTCAAAAGTTTTTCTGTCATGGTCGATGCTTCTACTCCGTATAGCAAGACTGTGAATATGTAGCATTCTATCAATCTGATTGTTAGTGGTAGTGGGATGTTTCTTCCGGTAAATAGGTTTTTCATTCTAACGAAAGTTGTTCTTGTCTTCTCAATCCTGGATATGATTTCTATGGTCATGTCCCATTGACTGTGAACAATTGTCCCTAAATATGTATATTTTCCAACATGTTCTATGGGTGTTTGGTTTAGTGTAAGTCTTCTTATTGGCATTCGTTGTTTACGAATGCACATCCACTTTGTTTTTGAGACAGTTAGTTTTAGTCCGAATTCTGTAATACACTCTAAAGATCTTCAAGACTATTAGCTATGATGGCAGTGTCGTCTGCGTATCGAATGTTATTGATCAGTTGTTAATTCGTCTTTATTCTCTATGCGGCATCATAAAGCACCTCGTCAAAGATCGCTTGTGAGTATAAATTGAAAAGTGTAGACGATAGTAGGCATCCTTGACGGACTCTTTTTTTGATTTGAGTGTCTTCCGATAATTCCCCAGCGATTTTTATCTTTGAAGATTGATCCCAGTTTTTAAAACGTCGATGAAACTTATTCAGGGTTATTCACAACCTTATGGACACAGGGCAGGGGGTGTAGAGGACCTCAAAACAAATCCAGTTACCATTTAAGTTTTTTTCAGGCCCATGGTTAAAAAAATACAGCATGTTAAAGTTTCAAGAAAATGTAGGAATTTGCTCTTTAACTCCTACAGTTTATGAGATATTTTCCTCAAATTTTTAACGTAGGCTAATGTTTAGACCGTTGGCTCGTAGGTAAGTGGTTGTAAAAATCTACAGGGTGTTCTTTTTTCTAGAGGCATACCTCTCCGAACTTTTTTGTGGTGCTCCACTGACTTTGACCAAACACATTTTTGCATTTGATGTTTAATTTAGGAATTTTCTGATCTCCTGATCACATGCAGTTTTTTCGTGTCTGTTTTCGTTTTGGAGTTACTTGCACAAATGTAAGTTCATTTAGGGTTTCTGGGTGATTTTTTATGACTTTTCTTATAATACATTGTTTTTCACAGTTTGTTTGTGTCTTTTTGATCACATTTTTCTGTGAAAGCTTCAAGTGCAAGTTGAAGTTAACGTAGGGATGGCTTAAGTTTAATTTTTTTTTTACTTTAATTTAATTTACAATAATTGGGGTTTACCGGACACTTATTTAATGAATTCCAGAGCCACCTTACACAATGTAGCATCTTTTTGAAAATTTAAACAAAATAATTTATAATTTGAGAACGGTTGATTTCACAGCTTAAAGTTTAAATTGTAAATTGAAAATTCCTACCTCGGCGGTGAGGAATGGGTTTTAGTCGGTAAGCAGCTAGGCTGAAATCCCACACAACCCAGAGCGTTACAACACAAGCTCTGGATAATGCGTAATAAAGTATTTTTAAACATTATCGGCAATAAAAGTAATAAGCAGTGTGTGACAATAACGGGTCTAACCTTGCCCCAATCTTTCAAGATACACATGAAGGTAGGTATTTATTTTCTAAACCTGAATTGCCCTCGCTCAGTGTTTCTTTGAGATTAAAGCTCGGTAATCCCTACAGTATGACATGCTGTAGAGGTTTATAGCATTAATTCAGCAAGCAGAAGGTTCGAATCGTTTGGGTATCATTTATCTGACTTTATAGCTTTTCCATTACGACGAATCTGGCCGTTTTCCCGATTTGGAAAAAAATGATTTCTTTGTTAGCGTAGGTAAAAAACGTCAGAAAAAACCTGTACCAGATGCGTAATTTCTGGGGGATTTCGTCCATACACGGAGTTTTTCGTGTTTCAGTTTGCGGATAGCGTCTACAATTTCAGCTAAGGTACGTTCTGATACAAATTTAGTACTGGTACTTTGTTTCTCTCAAGCGAATATAAGTCTAGGAGGATGTCTACGGAAAAGGATATCCTGCCACTTCCAAAGATTCAGGCATTGTTATGTTCCGAGTCATCATAGTTTAGGTTAGTCAAAAATTTTCATCCAGCATCTTTCGTTTGCTCTGTGGATGGCTAGCTTGGGACTTTTCTTGGGTCTGGAGTAGAAAGCCCTTTCCTTGGAAGACTTGCTTGGAAATTGCAGTTTGAAATTAACCTAACACAATTCCTTATCCAATTTATGATTTTTGTTTCTTAATATTGTCTTTATTTAAGCTTTTTATAATTATTACCCACTGCGTAGTAATCCATATTGTATGCCCAAATTAATTTTTAATTAGTCGCTTGATGACCAATGACAATGACCACAGTGCCTGAAATATGATTCGCAAGTTCAGCACTGATCTATCTAAATTAATTAGTATATTTGTGAATCCAAGTTCAATATATCAGCAAACTACAACTTGAAAAAAAACATTTTATTTTCAACCATGTGCATCATTGACTAAAATGCAGTAAAATAGTTACAACACACTGTGTAGACAGATTTTAGGTAATAGTAAATAGACACTTTAGAATAAAGATGACCTAAACAATAGGATAAAATTCTCAGTTAAATGCTCACATAAGTAGCCAACAATATCTACTTCAAATTAACGAAGTATTTATTTAAAAGTCATGATGGAACAAGGACGAATTAGTCACGACAAAAATATATTTTTACTATTAGGGAATACAGTAAAAATGTTAACCGCTTCATGGTTCATCTGCAGCAAAAAGGTGTATTCTCGCATTATGGCCGCAAAGAATGCTGATGTGTATAACAGGTCTTCATCACTGAAGAGAAAGGGGACGTGTAACAATTAATGGAACTTTTACTGTTAATCCTCGACATTCAGCGTCGTCAGATTTTCTGCGTTATGCTTAAGAATTTCTTAACAATGATAACGTAAGTCTTGAATCAGTTGATCTATCTCGTCTGTAGAATTACATTCCCCAGAATCCACTTCTTGTAGTCCATGTCAGTATCAAGAAAGACCTCGGTTTGTTAGGCTTTTTCACTGCTAAATACTTGGCTCGTGGGTGCGACCGACACCTTTTCATTGTGGTTGACCTTTTGTGATATTTTTGTATCCTAACAAAACAACTTTCTGTATGTATTTCATTATCGGGTTACATAAACTGAAAAAAGATCTTGACGACACTATTTTTATTTTATTTAGTAAAATTGTGGTAGAAAGTAGGTAACAATTTTTTGTGAGTGAAATAGATAGTGGTTTAACTTCAAGAGAGTTATCTTCTGTATTACGTTTTAGTGTATCGAATGGATTTTACTTTGCTCAGAAAGTAAGTGAACATATAAATTTCCATTTAGTCAAAATACACCTATGTATAAAATACGTTCTACTCCAGAACAATCTCTATAATTAAATTGTTCTTCAGAAAAAATCTAAGTTGTATTTAAGTGTTGCTAATTGACGAAAAAGCGATGCTTGCATGTTGTAAATAGCTAATACTTCGCATGCAAAGTGTACTAAATTAGGGTAAGAACGTGCGAAGTGTTGCGGCTGTTAAATGTCATATTATCTATTTATTTCTGAATTGTAAATATGCATATTTGCAGTCGTGGTTGTACGAAATTACATTTAAAAGTTTAGATAATTCTATTTCGAGTATACCCGAGGGAACCTGATTTGTAATTTTCCTTTTTTTCTCAGTTTATTTAGAGTTTATGCAATTAACATAAAGTTAATATAATTGTTGTAATAACATTTTCTTCTGTTAGTAGAGATAAAGATCTCTAATTGTTCTTATAACATTAAAAGGTAATTTCTTCACCGATACAAGCACAATTAAAAATTTGCTTTGGGAAATCGATAACACTGGCCAGACATAATCCCCAATACAACTTGTTGAACTGTTTTTAGTTAATTTTCTTCATGTGCGTATTTGTACATTTTATTGCATTTCTAGGAACGCAAATTTTACCTGCATACTGAATATGCAAGCGTGACAGTAGATTACATTAAAATATAACAAAAGAGCTTAAAGCGAATTATTGCAAATGTACCAAAACTCTTATTATAGTAAGATTATACAGAGTTCGCCATAACAAATTTATCTCCGTTTTATTAACAATTTTACATACGAACTAAATCGCGTAAATTTTATCATCATTGATTCAACCCTATTCTAACTACTACTTGCCCAGCGACCGCATGTCTTGTTTTTTAAGTACCAACTTAGGTCATATGTGAGCATTCAAGAGCTAATTATTTTGCAAGAACAATACTCTGTTTAATAGAAATAGTTGATCGGAATGCATAATTACCGCTTAGCTAATTTCATTCAATCTAGTAAAGAATGGAAATGGCCTCTGCCATCCACCTGAAATGGAGCAATCTAAGAAAAACACTAGCTACTGAAGAGCGAATATTCTCGGCCGGAATATTGCTTATATCCATCCTCAATGTGTGTCTAAGGTCTTGAATTACTTCAAAGTTAGTTTGATACGCTCTTTCCTTAAAATATCCCCATATAATGAAATCCATTGGTGTAAGGTCTGGTGACTGTGGTGGCCATTCAATAGAACCACGTCGACTTATCTAGTGGTTTGGAAACATTTAGTTCAAACATCAACCAAAATTTAAACCGTAATGTACCGTAATGTGGCAGAACGCCCTTGGTCATTTTCACCAAACATATATTTCGTTTCTTAATCTTCTTCTCGTAATTAAGGGCTAGACTCTAGACTATTATATGACAAGTGCCAATTTTCACTCATACTAGTAGTAGAGTAAATTACATTTCATAATTTGCGATTTGCCAACTTTAGGTAAATCCCACACGGTCCATGTTCTTGAAATTTACGAAATATTTACTTTCAATTGGTTGCAAAATATGATTATTAAGATCATTTGCATTAAATTAAAGTCAAACTTTGTTGGACTCTCTCTCTGTACTCTGTACTTTTTCTTCGTCACCCGACAAAATTTAAATTTCAATTGGCTCTCTTTCGTAGATAGTCACAATTATTAAAAAATGCTGTTGAGATACACAGAAACGCAAGGTCGAACATCGAAACATTCCAATATATTGTGACAATAAAACTCATAAGAACCAACAATCGGTGCAAAACTATGTATATTTTAACTGTGGATATTTAAGCGAGTTTTTAAAATTTTACTGTAGTAAATTATGGAAAGTTGGTTAGCTTCACGCAGTCTAATCAAGTAGGAATAATAATTTTTGTATTTATATCGTATTTGAAAAAATTGAACTTTATTGAAACGGAACGAACTGATATAAGTATTTTTTATATACGGGATGAATATTATCACCAAAAATTTTACAGTAATTTCAATAAAGTTACGTATTTCAGCGTTTTATGGAGGAATAAAAAAATTTTTTTATTGATAATTACAATTCGTCTGGCAAAACTATAATAATTTACAATAGGTATGTTTTGATAAAAATGAAAATTCGAATAAAAATGGTTGGACTTATTTATGCTTTAACACAATATTTTCCGAAACACAATATTGTGCAAATTTACCGTCCCTTCCTACTCTGTATCTCTAATTAAACCCTTTGTAGTTACATATTTGTTTATTTAACTTTGTAACTTGTTTATTTCTAACTTTTAAGCAGATACTTTTCATATTTTATATATGTATTTTGTTTTATAATGCATTAAAAATTGGACCAGACAACATTTATGTCGCAAGAAATTCCCAAATTGTCTCATAACCATTTATTACAAGTCAATTCAAAGTGCCAATAAATGACTAATGAAAATTTTAAATAACATACCTTACATTTGTAATATGCAATTTTTGTAAAATGTTTGTTTCGAAATGTTTTATTAAGCATTTTATATCTACTTTTCTCGACTTTCCACCAACAAAGCAGAATTATTTTAAAAGTTTGTGCCATACTAAATTATTTTTGTTCTAAACTTTAAGATAATTCTAAAACACTTCGAAAAGGTATATTCCACTATCATTGGCAGAAAAACTATAAAAAAATATTTTTTTGTGTCTGTGATAATTTTCTAAAACATTTCTTTAAAAAAATTGGTGTCGTTCTTTTTAAACTGATTTTGGGGTTAAGTAGAAAGCATGAACCAAGACATCTAAAAATGTTCCAGTTTAATTTCTATTGATAGTTGATTGTTGATAAAAGACTACTGAAGATTCAATACAAAAACAAATGCGAATTTTGTTTAAACTTTCGAAACATTGTTTATCATTTGCTACAAACGATTTGTTAACTAAATATAAGTTATATACGCCCAGTAGTTAGACAACACGTTTAGATAAGATTTAGATATTACAAAAAGCTTGTCTTATTGAAGGTAAGTAATTGGTTTTATAAATTCCGATCGAAAAATTCTAAAATGTTTAACTGTGCCGAATTTGCAGGCAATGATAAATAGGTGATTTGCAATGTCTTTTTACACAACAAGCCATAAATGAATGAAGGAAACTTCTTAGGCCCGGTTGCACAAAAGCAAGTTCAACGATGGTTCAACTGAACCGTCAGTCACCGGTGAACCGGAGTTCAATTTTCACGGGTTGTACCACGCCGATCCCAGCTCGGTTCAGTTGAACTCGACTGAACTATATTTGCTGGCTTTAGTGAAAAAGTATAAAGCACATATCGAGTGTAAAAAACAGATGCAAACCATAATAAAACATATTTTTTTTATTTTCTCTACTACGATATTCGGAACTTCTTTCGATAATCTAAATTTAAAATTGCGATCGTTTCATTGCAGGAAATGATTTGGTCGCTCCCCATATGCTGGTGATCTTGGATTAAAAAATGTTCCTAGGAGCTCCCCTTTTAAATAAATCGTTCCATCCCGTCGAGAATAACCACGGCACTATAAGTATAAGTTTGGCCACTTTAGCTTGACTAATGGTATTTTTCCCCAACAAAAACATTTTAAGGTAGCTTGATCAATTTAGTAAACTAAGTATATGCGCTTAAGAGAGAAAGAGCTAGATATTTTTAATTCTTAAATTTGTGAGCTATTTGGACTAAATATGGAAGAAATGCATTAAATCAGGAAATCAAATACTACTATTATCCGGTGAATTTGTGGAAAAACTGTAAGATTTATTCGTAATATAATGTCCGACTTTTGTTGTACCAGTTTCAATTTTCGGAATTGAAATCTCAATCAAAAGTAAAATTGATTCTTCCCATCAATAATCATTATCAAGTGCAATGATCTAGTCAACTAGTGTGTACTTTTATTCTACACGATAGCTGCGAGAAAACATGAGAAAAATAAATATGTTCGTATAATAAAGGCTATACACGTATTTTTATTATTGTGTAGCGATTTTGAATGTAAATTCGTCGAATTCTGTGATATTCAAATTGATCACGTTTATTAGATGTATAATTTAAACTAACTCATTTTTGTGTATGTCTGATGGTTTCATCTGTTCCCTTTTAATAGCGAAAAATGATACATAGATGTTGGGAGAAATGAAGTTTTAATTAATTTTGTTATGTTCCTATAAAGCAATTGCATCCTTTTCATCAAATTTTCATCATTTTGAAATATCCAGCTTCTTTCAAGCACCAAGTAAAATTTATAGTCAATGCAAAACAAATTCGAGCATTAACCTTTATCGATTGTTCTGATTATAGATTCGGACCATTTAATCTTTGACTTACTTGAAACAATCCGTTCTACAAATACCATTGGTTTTCGGGTGATTAGGGCCTTATCTGCAGAAATTGGGTTTGAACGTCACATTAGTTTAGTGTAAGCACAAGTGCTTCAAGAAGCAAACTTCTTAGTCGTTTGCTCGGTTTCGAGCATCATGAGTTCATGTATTGTTTTCTGTGGCTGCTTCCCATTCCTGCATGTCTTCTGCTATCGTGAATGTTTGGGTGAGACTTTTGCCAGGGACTGACGCCCAAAGTGAGTCTCTCAAGACCATTTCTTTCTACCACATGACCAGAGAATTTAGCTATGAAGTAGTTCAACTCCTATATCCTCAAGTGCAGAAAGCATTTCAGCAATCACGCCGTCCTCTCCAGGCGACTTCTTGGTTTTTAACTTGCTAAGTGCTGTGCTCACTTCTTCTTAGTTTGGGACGTTCTTTTTCGTTGTATGTTCACTGGAACAAACTGTTATATGTGACTTTCTGAGTTTCCAGTGTATTTCATAAATTTCTCGCAATAGCTTTTCCGCCGCTTTCTTACCTGTGCTCTGTCTTTTTATAGTTTACGATCTTCCGATCTTATTGCCCAGGCCTTTCAGTTGAACGAACGTGTAATTTGGCCGACTTTGCTAAACAGGTCCTTTGACTCATTCTTGTGTG